CGCCGCGCAGACCTGGCAGGCCCAAACGAACAGTGAGGGTCTGCTGGGAACGCCTGGCGGAAGAACCTGTCCAGATGATCTTCAACTCCCACCTCCGGGAGAGGTTCGACCGTGTCCCGAGGGCAGAGGGGGACATTGAGTCCGAATGGGCCTTGTTCCGCTCTGCCATTGTCGAGGCGGCGGTTGCGAGCTGTGGCCACAAGGCTGCTGGGGCCAGTCGTGACGGTAATCGTCCGTTCAGCCGTCAGGCTGAAGAAGGAGGTCTACAGGGCATGGTTGGTCTGTGGGTCTCCAGAAGCAGCTGACGGGTACCGGCGGGCCAAGCGGAGCACAGCGGCGGCAGTCGCAGAGGCAAAATCTCGGGCGTGGGAGGAGTTCGGTGAGGCCATGGAGAAAGACTATCGATCAGCTCCAAAGAGGTTCTGGCAAACCGTCTGGCGCCTCAGGGGGGGGAAGGCGGCAACTTGCTCACACTGTTTACAGTGGGGGCGGGGAGCTGCTGAAGTCAACTGGGGACATTGTCGGGCGGTGGAAGGAATACTTTGAGAAGCTCCTCAATCCCACCAACATGTATTCCAGTGAGGAAACAGAGCTGGGGGTCTCGGGGGCGGGTCATCCAATTTCTGGGGGAGAAGTCGCCGAGGTAGTGAAGGAACTGCGCGGCGGCGGAGCCCCGGGGGTGAACGAGATTCGCCCTGGATACCTCAAGGCTCTGGATGTTGTAGGGCTGTCCTGGCTGACAAGCCTCTGCAACATTGCGTGGACATCGGGGGCAGTGCCTCTGGAGTGGCAGACCGGGGAGGTGGTCCCCATATTCAAGAAAGGGGACCAGAGGATGTGTTCCAACTACAGGGGAATCACACTCCTCAGCCTATCCGATAAAGTCTACGCCAGGGTACTGGAGAAGAGGGTCCGGTCGATAGTTGAACCTCGGATTGAGGAGGAGCAATATGGTTTTTGTCCCGGACGCAGAACCGTGGACCAGTTCTTTACCCTCGTCAGGGTGCTGGAGGGGGCATGGGAGTTCGCCCAACCAGTCCACATGTGTTTTGTGGATTTGGAGAAGGCTTATGACCGTGTCCCCAGGGGCATCCTGTGGGGGGTGCTCCGGGAGTATGGGGTTGGTGGTCCTCTGCCAATGGCCATCCAGTCCCTGTACCGAAGGAGCACGAGTCTGGTTCGCGTGGCCGGCAGTAAGTCGGACCTGTTCCCGGTGAGGGTTGGACTCTGCCAAGGCTGCCCTTTGTCACCGGTTCTGTTCATAACTTTCATGGACAGAATTTCTAGGCGCAGCCGAGTGGTGGAGGGTGTCAGGTTCGGTGACAGGAGGATCTCGTCCCTGCTCTTTGCGGATGATGTGGTTCTCCTAGCTCCATCGAACAGTGACCTCCAGCTCTCGCTGGGACGGTTCGCAGCTGAGTGTGAAGCGGCTGGGATGAGAATCAGCACCTCCAAGTCTGAGGCCATGGTCCTCAGCCAGAAAAGGGTGGATTGCCCACTTCAGGTCAGGTCAGGGGGGAGGTCCTGCCTCAGGTGGAGGAGTTTAAGTATCTCGGGATCTTGTTCACGAGTGAGGGTAGGATGGAGCGGGAGATTGACAGGCGGATTGGGGCGGCGTCAGCAGTGATGCAGGTGCTTAACCAGTCCGTTGTGGTGAAAAGGGAGCTTAGCCAGAAAGCAAAGCTCTCAATTTACCGGTCGATCTACGTTCCACCCCTCACCTATGGTCACGAGCTCAGGGTAGTGACCGAAAGAACAAGATCGCGAGTACAAGTGGCCGAAATGAGTTTCCTCCGCAGGGTGGCTGGGCACAGCCTTAGAGATAGGGTGAGGAGCTCAGACATCCGGGAGGGACTCGGAGTAGAGCCGCTGCTCCTCCACATCGAGGGGAGCCAGTTGAGGTGGTTCGGGCATCTGGTAAGGATGCCTTCCGGACGCCTCCCTTGGGAGGTGTTTCGGGCATGTCCAACCGGGAGGAGACCTCGGGGCCGCCCCAGAACACGCTGGAGGGACTACATCACCCGGCTGGCCTGGGAATGCCTCGGGGTTCCCGCGGAAGAGCTGATGGAAGTGGTGGGGGAGAGGACTGTCTGGGCTTCTTTGCTGAGGCTGCTGCCCCCGCGACCTGGACCGGATAAGCGGAGGACAACGAGTACGAGTACGAGGTTTTGTTCAGCAAAATAATGTTCACATACAAACACCTCTTTCATGACAGCTCCACCTTTTAGTACCAGATCTGTGTGCTAGGTACCCCAACTGAAGGGGTGATCAAAAATAGGAATGGTACGAAACAGTTCCATTGGTACCATCCACAGCTTTTCACAGTGGAAACGGAAAAAAAGCGTGCTGAACTGAACTGAAAAAATACTGTACTGCTCAGTAGGAACAGGGCTTAAGATGCTTACATGAAATGTATTGGAGAAAAAGTACACAATTTATTTCTAAAATATGGTGCAGTAAAAGTTAAAGTTGACAGAAATATAAAAACTTAAGTATAGAACAAACACTCCCTAAAAAATACGTAAGTACTGTAACAAAGTATCATTACTTCATTACATTATACTACTAACCCTGGCAGAGGTCCAGGGGCTGAAACAACGCATGTGCACTTTTAGTTTGGATCCTACTCACTGTTTTATAAATGAGACCCCAGGTGACCTCTTGCACTCCACCCCCATTTTGTAGCAAAAATGACATACACAAATTAAAATGACTATAGCTTCTCAACCACTCTGACTACATGCATGCATGCCAGAAAGAAAACTCCCTGTAGTTTCTTGTGAAAGTGTCAGAAACACTCTAGGTGATACACAGACAGAGTAATGGGCCTTTGAAGTCAGTAAAAAAAAAAATTGAAGATTTTGCCTAAAATAAAATAAAAAATGTTTTTCAGGATGAATAACTGTCCGTGGCTTCACCTGTGCAGGTAAATGACAGTATGGGGCTGTAGGCACACATCAGTGAACACTTGTTTCAAATTTGAAGAAGAAAGCACAAAGTATGACCAGTCTACAGTTTTTTCCATGAAAAGATCCAGGCGGAGCTCCAAAAGACAAGTCGGTCTCTCTGCTTCAAAACAGTACTATATCAAACAACACTCAGCCAGCTTCTAACATTGTACCATATTGAAATCAGGCGTGATTGTGATAGCTGATGTTGTTTTTGACATAGAAACACCATAAAACATCACCAGAATAAAGCCACATGAAACGTGAAAGTTATGATCCCACTTTCTAGATGGTGTATCTCAGCCAAAATTAGTGGTTGGAGCCTTTAGAGAACATTCCCTGAAGGTTCACAGAGGGTACTCTGGAGGTTTTTAAAAACCTTGTAAAGGACATCCTCTGAACATTCCCTTTAGGATCTAAAAATATGTTTGGGAATAAAGGGAATGTTCCCTAAAGGTTCACTGACAGTACTACAGATTTTTAAAACCCTTTTAGATATTAAATTACTTCATCAGGGAAAGGTTATTTGAATGTGTAACATTTTCATGTCCAACCCACATTCGGCCGTCTCTGTCATAAAAACCTGCTCTCTGCCGCTGCACAGACAGGAGAGAGGTCGGATCACTGTCTTCACTAGGCAGAAATTTACATGACAAAAATAGTTCACGTGAGCTCGTCAGGAAGAAATCAGCATTGTTTGAAATTTGAATGAAATAAGGGCTATGACCAGGGTTGGACATTAACACCAGCCACCAGTCAAGTGCTTGTAAAATATGTAAATGGCTGCTAATGTTAGATTTGCTTCACTTAGCAGCCAAAACACAGTTACCGTTCTTCTGTTGAGTGTATGTGCATATTGGAATCTACCAGACATAGTGGCAGGTGGACAAAAACGTCCATTAACCCTAATCGAACCCTTGCTGTAGCTGAGGAGGATTCGCTAACTAGCCTATGTTTAGGAGCCACATTGCTAACACTTGATAACAGGATGTTGTTGAATGGTGATAGAAGATACCATTATCTCAGACGCAGCCTAGTATATTTATTGGATGTCTGTGTGCTTGTTCTCGCTGGTCATGCAGTCTCTCTCATCTCACTCACCATGAGGGATTTCATTGTTTCTGTAAACATTTGACATAGCTTATATTTAAAAGAAATCATGTTTACTGAAACTGTCACAATATTCACACAGCACTAAATGGGACAGATGATCTGTGAAAAAAATCATATTCCTCTGCCGACACTACTGCTTTGTAACATTTTTAATTTCCTTACTGCATGTGAATGAAAAAAATGAAGTTTTGCATTAGTTCATGCAGGACACTGAAGTGATACGCCCCAGCTGTAACCAGCTGACAGCCAGCTGAGTAGATCATTGCTTCTGCTTAAGTGTCTTTGAGTGTCCTTAAAAAGCACTATTTAAATCCAATGTATTACTATTATTATTATCATTAATCAGTCACACACCAGTCACAGCCTTTCTTACAACAAGGTGGTCCATTTGAATATGGCCAACATATTGTGGTGTTGTGGCTGCCATATTGAACGAGTGCAACAATCTTACCATTTTTTAAAGTGTAAATATAAAAGAAGAAAAATAGAGACAGTGTAGAGATTTTGTTTGATGTTTCTCTCATTTCTTAAGTTATGATTAAGTGTTTCATAATTTCTTTTTGACAAAAAGGATATTTAATTACAATCTTTTTTCTCTATTTTATTCATTTAGTTTATTTGCACACACATAAGACTGCATAACATATAGATCATTTAGGACAAGAAATATGACAGGAGAGGTCAAGAAGTGACACACGCCGACACATGTAATAAAAAATAATTAAATCAAAGTTGACATCTTTGTTGTGATGTTGTTACTGTATCTGACCTCGTCCTGTTTCCCGTACAGAGTGGAGGTTTATGGCAGCCGGCTGCTGCGAGTGTTTTCTATTTTCTCTCCTCTGTGTTTCTGCAGCTGCTGCCTGTCAGTCACTCCGTCTGCTGGCAGAAGGTCGGTGCGTTAAAGGACTCTGGACTTATTCTCCCTTCCAGTCAGCCATGAAGCTTCAGCCTGCAGCATTGAGCGCCGTGTTCCTGCTCGCTCTGCTCTCATCTGGTGAGTTTAAATTTGACCCTCAGAATTTAACTTGTGTTGTAAAACTGCTTTTATCCAAACTTTGAGTGAGCGACAGTTTGACCGACGTCTGCTTTTAAAGGTCCACACTGACTATTTTAGTATTAAAGCGGCAAATATTGAGTTTCAGTTGTAAATATGTTTATTTATTTTATTTTAATGCTAAAGAGTTTCTGCCCCCCCCCCCTCCCCCCCCCGCTTACAAGATTAATGTGGGGTACTAAAACTCTCCCCTCAAAAAGTTGTGTTTGCGGCTCTTCCCAGTGCAGTTATTAACTCTGGGAGTCCTTTGTTGAATAAGCAATTGGTTAATCTACACAAATTTACTGTAACAAATTTGATGAATGATAAATTGTTTTAAGTCCCATTTTCAAAGCAGAAATGCCCCCCAAAATTCTGTTGATTTCAGCTTCTGAGATGCAAATATTTAGTTCTCTTAGTCTTTTATAATAGTTGGACAGAACAAAGAGTATGAATATGTCATCTTTGGCTTTAGGATCATTTAAGAGGCATTTTATTTATACTAACTTAGGACATTTATACACTAATCGATCGATAGTCGATGATAAACAAAAAACACTGTAAATCCCCATTCGCTCACTCAACTTCAAAATATTTTGGACATGCTTGCTTACTAAACTTTTAGTTTAGTACACTACAGTAACAAAAGTTTTGAGTATACCAGACACAAAATAAATGTGTCAAATGACCCTTATCTGACAGGGATTTTATGCCAGTTTAACATAACTTTTTGTAGTTGTTTTAGCATTTTTTTCTATGTCATATGAACATAGAAACATTGAGTACACATTTTTTACAAACTCTTTTTTAAAAATCTTGTTTAACTACAAAATTATATGTTAAGTGCACCATGATAGTGGTGTTAATTGGCCTTGAATAATTATTAATTTTTTTTTTGTCAAATTAACTCAAAACCCCCAAATTGTTGATGCAACATAAAAACTATGTTGAACTCACAAGGAATGAGTTATTGTGTCAAGTGAACATAAAGTTTTGATGTATTAGTTAACATCTGTGTCAACTTTACATTAAAATTTTGAGTCATGGATGAATTGGGGTTTACAGTGATAATCGCAGCACTGCATTAATCATTTAAATTAAGAAGTAGTTCTTAGAAATAAAATTAAATGAAATTAGAAGATCTTATCAGAGCTGAGCTTTTTTTTGTCTCAGTTGTATTTACTTTTTAAGAAATCAAACAGCCATGGCTGAGTGGTAAACTGGGAGTGTTTAGAGGGGAAATGTCTGCCAGTTACCAGCAGTGTGTACATGGCAGGTGGTATTACCGCAGCAGTGGTAGTATTCTGAACTACAGAGCAGCTGCCATGATACCCTGAAATATGATCGCCATGAAAGCATTCACACACTCTCAGGCACCGTTTGTTTTCCTGTGGTGGAATGTAATTTGTACATTTACTTACTGTACAAATACTGTATGTAAGTCCACATTTGAGGTTTGAATTTATAGTTCTACGCCACATCTCAGAGGTAAATATTGTACTTTTTATTGCACTACATTTGTTCAACAGGTTTAGTTACTTTTCAGTTTTTCATCCCCTTCCTGTCCAGTAAAAACCATGTATCTCCAGATGTTTTGATGTTGAATGTTTGTGATAAACTGAAGGATGAAGTGTTCCTTTATGTGTTGAGAAAACTCTCCTCCTTCTTAAGCTAAACAAATTCTTTAAAAACCCTCTTGGATCAGCTGTTGTTTTTCTGACACCATGAAAAGTTGACTTCTTAGAGATACGTGGTTCTCACAGGACAGCCCTGCCACAAACATATGATGCATTACTATAGATTAAACTACCAAATAGTATATAAAGGAGTTAAAATGAGCTCAACCTTAAACATCTACAGCAGTAAAATGCAACATACACATTAATGCAGAGGGAATATTAATCTAAAAACATCAGGTAGAAACACCGACAGGAAACATTTTACTGGATGAACTGAGCTGGGAATAACTTGTGATAATAAATCTGCAGATGTGTGCTGTTAGTCTGGGTGGCTTTTGTGAAGTCACCTCACTACTATTATAAAATGTTACATGAAATGATAGCACTGTGGCTTTATAAACATGGAAAATACACCTTTTGTTGACTTACATGTGAACTTGAGAACATTAAAATGTGTTGTTTAGTTTTAAGTGTATTAGGTTTACTTATTTGACAGTAATAACAAGATACATACAGAAGAAGTAATTCTGGTACAGGTCCTCCCTGATTGAAATAACAGGAAAAAGTGACATTACTCAGGTAATAATACACTAATAAGCAACAAACAAACAAATAAGGAACACATAATACAAAAACTATTTATATACACACCAAAAAACCAACAGTTTTAAAGAAAACAAAGAGAAAAACAAGAAAGGACAACAATAAAAGGAGAACAAACCTTAAAAATAAGAAAAAAATAAATAACCAGTAGAAAAAAAAACATGCCTAAAGATCCAAGATGAAATAAGAAGTTTCTTGAAGTGTGACCTAAGACCTGACACAAAAGATAATGGTTTCAAAGTCATATTCAATAAATTCTTTAACTGTGGAGCTCTATATTTGATTTTTTTTAAAAATGAGGTTTTGTTGTAAGACAGTATGGTAAGTAGAAATTATTTTTTGTCTAACTGAATGTATGAAATGTATCTGGGAGATCTTTTTATCGATCTAAAATAAACAAGCATATTTGATAAACAGTGAATAGACAGCAGTGAATATTTTATACACAAAGGTGCAGATGGATCTCAGCTGTTAGAACAAGGTAACATTCTCAAAAATCTCTTTTGGATTACAAGTAGTTTGGTAAGATCTGTGTTTTTGTGTGTGTTTTTGTGTCAGAGTGCTGGGGCAGGAACGAGGAGGAGCGTCTGATCAACTACCTGATAAAGGAGCGAGGATATAACAAAGAGCTGCGACCTGTTGAAAGGCAGCAGGACGCTGTCGATGTTTACCTCGCACTCACACTGTCCAACCTCATTTCTCTGGTACAGACTGTGTGTGTGTGTGTGTGTGTGTGTGTGTGCGCATGTACACCTTGCCTGGTTATCCCTGTGACATTTCTGGTACTCCTACAGATTCTAACACTATAAAATATTGAGTTTTATTTTTTTTAAATATTTTTTTACTTTTTTAGGGTCATCAGATGACCCTGATAAAGGCCTCCTTTCAAATCACATTGTTCTGGCAATAAAGTTGTTCTTGATACTAAAAGGGTTGCTGGAGTTTTGACTGCTTCAGTCTTTGCCCCTTCTCCATGCACCTTGTACCAGAAATCCCTCCTTCACTTCTACATGATCTTGATAATCCTTTTGATTACCATGTAACAATGATACACAGATTAAATGCTTCTGTTGGCCCTGTTTAAATGATGTATAGTGCATGGTCTAAAGCATACGGTACAAATGCATTTAGGGTGTGTCCAACTCTACTTTTGCTATATATACGGTGCATAATCTGGGGGCAAAGAAAGGTGCAAGTGGCAAAGGGGCTGTATTTAGTCCCTTAATTAAACATAGTTGTGTTTCAGGTGTAACATGAATTTAACCAATCAGTGTCCTTTCCCATTACCTTTAAAGGTAGTTATATGGCAGATTCAACAAATTGGAGCAGCGAGTGGTTTTCTGCTGAGAGTAATGCAAGAGCAGTAATGTCACTGCAAATATTGTGGGAGACTTGAGCAACAAAACTAAAATCTGTAGTTCAGTCAGGAACACTTTATTCAAAGAAAACTTTATTTCCATTTGCAGTATTATATTTGGCAGTATGGTTCTGTTCTGGGGCCTCTGCCTTTCCTCGGGCCTATGCAGAAAGCCTCCTCCATGCGCCTACGTAAAAAGCATAAGGCGGAGAGAGCACAACTCTTCGCCCTTCTGTGTGCAAATGAGGAAAGCCTGAGGCAGAGAGAGCAAACCTCCCTGCCCTTTCATGCGCCAACAGTAAGCGTTGATGCCAAACAGAAATGACACTGATAAGTCAGACACAGCATGAAATGGAGGAGCTGAGGTGGAGGCGGGTTGCAAAGTGGCTTGCAGAGGATGCAGCAACAGTAGGCAGGCCATGCAGTTTAAATAGGGCACCTTGTATGAGATTTGCCAATTGGTTGCATAGAAAGAAATCATGTGATCTATCAGCAGGTGACGCAGACCTCCTGTCAATTTCTGTATACATGACTTCAACGGGACTACAACGAACTACAACGGGTCGCGCGCCAGTGACGTCATAGGTGATAGAAACATGGCGGCAGAGCTCTTCACACACATAAGGTGTAAATAAAAACAAATCTGTTGAGTCTTTACCCTTCGGATGAAATGGCCAGTCAGGCTACATGCTACGGAGAGAGTTTAAGAGGTCCTGATCGCCTTCGGTATGACGAGAAAGCGAAAATGATAGGAGGTGTGTGTCCTTTTCAGCTGCCAGCCTCTGTGTGGACGAATGACCCTGTCAATTCATTCATTCAATCCATGTCCTGTCGATTCATTACTTAACATTCATTAGAATTAACTTCTTGGCTTTGAATATCTCATGTTATTGCCTGCCTGCATGTTAAGTGCCTGCCACAGATGTAATGTTGGGTGTAGTGACTGGCTGGATCCCACAGCTTTCCATCTTTACCCTGCCGTTTGATGGGTGTGAGCCACAGATTTCTTCTTTCCCCATTCTTCACTCTCTCCGGGAGCAAAGAAAATCGCAATTCTGTTTTTTTTTTTTTTTTTTTTTTTTTTTTTTGTTTGCTGTGCAGGGAACAACGCAGCAACTTTTCGGCATTATGAACTCCTAGCCGCGACTAGCGTCTCTCCCAGGTCGAGTTCAAAACTTTCACCCAAAAGGGGGCGTGGCCGTTGTGACCGGTAGTGAGTGACGTTGCGTTGAAGTCATCTATACTGACACCATTTCCCTCAGTGGAAACGAAGCTTGTATTTACTTGTATTTCACAGATAAGAAACAATAAATTGTGAAGACAGTAAAGCCTCCACTAAAATAGCATTTTAAGTCGTGTGAGTGATTTATCCTTCAGGGATTTATCCTGGCTTCATATGAGCAGAGGAAATCTCCGCTCGTTGCTAGGCTAATGTAGGGTGACCATATTTTAATTTCCAAAAAAGAGGACACTTGGCTCGGCCATGACATAGCCTACTTAAATGATACTTGCAGTTTACTCAAAGATGCCTTATAATTTTAATATATTTAAAGTTTATATGTATGGATAGAAAATTCAGTTATATTACAAAATAATATCTCTCAAAGACAGAAATTCAGATAGACCACTATAGATAGGGGACACATACACACACTAGAGTGTGGCTACCCGATCCGAGCCCGACGGGTCCCGACGGGTCATTCCGGGTTTGGTCAAAAATGTACAAATTGTATTCGGTCAGCTTTCAGTGAAAATGTAGTGTAAAAATAAATAAAATCCTACTGTCTGTCCTGTTTATCGCTTGGGGACTGTTATTTACGTGACAACACCTGAACAGAACACACGCACACATTGGCTGTTTGTTTCTACCTCCCCCCCCCCCCCCCCCCCCCCATCTTAAATACATGTAAATTTGTATGTTTGAAAATTAATATGAAAGCAAAACATTTTGATTTAATACTTCACTGTTGATTTTTTTCTACTTTACTGTCATGCAATAAAACACCCATTAATAAATTTAAAGTGTCAGAACTTCATTTGAAATAGGACTCTTAATGTTCCATAGTTGGAGATCACTCTAATTCAGATCCATCAATTAATCCAGGCTACCAAGGAAATCCAATATCTGTTAAACAAGAGAATAAAATACAAGAAAATACAGTTTGTAGAGAATTGAAACAAGTATAAAACTGTTTTACTGTTACTTTTTTACTGTGATTTTTGAAAGCCCCAAATTTTAAAGAAGAGTTGGTCCTCTGTGTCATTTGTTCTCCTTCTACTTATTTGTAGAAAGAGGTCGACGAAACTCTGCTGACGAACGTGTGGATAGATCACGTAAGTAAATGTTATTCTATTTCTTTACATCAAAGGCAGCCTTTCTTCCTCAATACTTTATGACCAATAACAATCCCTGTGTGTGTGCACTTAAAGACGTGGACTGACTACCGACTGTCGTGGAATGTGTCAGAGTTTGATGGTATCGAGGTGCTTCGATTGCCAACCAGCATGGTGTGGCTGCCGGAGATCGTGTTGGAAAACAAGTGAGATTCAGTTTCCTTTTGGTTTGTTTGGAAACAGAAAACCTCCTAAACCTGGAACAAACACAATATCTATGTGTCATACAGCTTTAATACAAATATTTTTAATGTTTTGAAGAGCTGACTGCCAAAAATTGCATTGCGAAGTATTGTCGGACCCGTTTTATATCTTAAAACCCAGAATAATCCTGATGTTGGCACAGAGAAGGAGCATTGTTACGCAACTGGCTGTTCTGTGAAGTTTCATATCAAAGGAAACTTAGATGGAAGAGTAAATACATTTTTGATTTTATTTAAATATAAAACTAAATTTGGGAAAACAGAGCTGAAACTGTGTGTGTGTGTGGTGTGCCCCAAGGGTTCAGTCCTTGGCCCTCTTCTATCTGGCTTGGATTTGCTTCTTGTAGGACAGATAATGAGATATTACGCAGATGGTATTCAAATAAAAAATGCAACTCCAAAATGTAAGTTTTAAACTCCTGATCTTCACTATGTATTGTTGGCAGATCGGTCAAATTGTGGGAAAAATCACTTTTCTTCATTTAGCATCCAACATGTTTCAATTTTTCTGATACCTGCCGCCTGCAGGTTCATTCAACCCTTCTATGTAGTCACATTCCTCTGTTTCCAGTTCACGTAGTATATGGATTTATCACTTCCTGCCCTCCACCTGAAATTCAAGAATCATAATAGTCACGTCATTGCGAACAAGCTATTGCAGAAGTTTCCATTTTGTTTCTTATGATGTTGAAAACTCCATGATATGACTGAAAGCTCCAGAAGAGCTACTAAATGGACCTGGAGTTGAAATAGTTGAACAACAAATTGTTGCATTACGAAACATACAGTATATCTGATTAAAGTTCTTCTAGATACACTGTAACAACCTGTACATATGTATGTATGTATGTATGTGTGTGTTGTAATCCCACCTGCCTTCTCTCTCCACCAGTAATGACGCCCAGTTCCAAGTGGCCTACTACAGTAATGTTCTCGTGGATTCTGCTGGTCTCTGCTATTGGTTACCTCCCGCCATCTTCCGCTCCTCCTGCTCCATAAACGTCAACTACTTTCCCTTCGACTGGCAGAACTGCACGCTCAAATTCACGTAAGACGCATAAACCTGTGCCAGTGTAGTGTTGTCATTGATGGGTTTATCTTATATATTATTTGTTTTGTATATTGTTTGGACCCAAATATTTAATCTGTTTGTGTCAATAAACTAACTAACTAACTAACTAACTAACTAACTAACGAGCTAGTGTCTGGTGTATGGCTTTACACAAGGGCTGTGATGCATTTAAGGCACTGATGAACTTGTCTGAAATAGGAAGATAAATCTAAATTTATTAAGAATAAAATGGGGAAAACTACTATGTTTACATGTTTACTTTGTGGCAAAATGTCCTCATTTACATGTCCAACAAACCACAATTGTCAGCTTATCAGAATATTTGCTTTCTGTGATTGTGGCTGTATTTGGATTATAGTTGGATTATATTATAATTGTCAAAAAAAACTATTTTTATAAAGTGATTTGATTTCCAGAATATATTCAAGACTAGATAACATGTTTGTTGATTTTAAAGTCCGTTTCCCATGTTGCTTTGCAGCTCTCTGACCTACAATGCCAAAGAGATCAGGATGCTATTGAAGGAGGAATATAGTGAGGATTTAAGTGAGAAATGGACGGTGGAGTGGATCATCATTGACCCTGCAAGCTTCACAGGTAAGTGTTTCTCCAATGTCTATTACACATTTTAAAAAAATATTATTTACCAGCCAGGAGTTCCAGCTTAATAAAAACACGACGTGTCATTGTTGTCTTTGCATATTTATGGCTTCGCACTCGCAATCAAATCTGATCACAGATTTCAGCATGTGTCATTCCCAAGACTTTTTACTTCTTTACAACTAACATGCTAACCTGAGCATGTCACTGTAGGCTAGTATAAAACAATGTTAGCATGTAGCAGTGGGTGGTACAATTGAAAGTAGGGATGCACTGATTTATCGGCTGAACATCGGTATCAGTCGATATGCGCCTTGTTGACTGCTATCGGCAAATAAGATTACATTCCCCAATGGAAGTCGCTGATGTGTTGCATCAACTTTGTGCAGGCTAAAATGCAGGGTAAAGACTATCGGTGTTCCGTTGTCCTGGGGACAATAGAACACATGTTTGGGACAAAAAAAGATCATCCCTGAGACGCTATTGGGATGTTAGGGTGCAGCAAACTCACTATCAACATATCAGGGGACGCACCCTGTTGTTTCCCTGATGATGCTACATCGTACCTGTGTTGACATCAGCAGGAGGAGAGCTAGTTATCATTAACTGTTAGCAGCTGGTGGCTGGATCTACCAGCTAACAGAGGTTACATTAAGTTACATTATGATACTTTCAAGCTCTCTTTGGTAAAATTGAGTGTTGGGCGAAGGGAAATTATAATGTTCTGACTAGGTGACGTATTTAATGGATATTTCATATTATTGTCAATGCATAACAAGAACAGCACAGAACAACTGGTAAACTGTATAATTAACCCAAACAATGAACCCAATACCTAACATTTGTACAAAACAAGCGATTTAGATACATTTTGAGCAGATTATTTCCTGCATTATATATTACATTATATATCACAATTATATTCTAATTATAGTAACAATCATGTACTTAATGGGCTTCTTTTTTGACAAATTTGTCCTTTTTTTCTCCCTGACTCATGACCATTGTTCCATTTGTTCTTTGACTGTTTTAACTGTGTACTTTTCCAATGCAGGATGAGACTGTGTAGCAGAGAGTAAAGGCTCTGTCAGTATAGCTTGTGTCCAGGTCTTCACTGTGCCCTCATCCTGTGAGATTTTTTAAAATATATATATCTTGCAGTGATGTTGTTAGGTACACGTCCTGTGTCCCTGACATGTTAAAATCTGAGAGGACACAGTAAACTCACTATTGGTGGGTCCTGGGGACGCACTAATACTTTCCCTGGTATCACTTGACTTATTTTGAAAGTCACAGGTCACAGAAACCACAGAGAGTTGAACTTGTTTTGCATGGCATTATCACACTGTCGGTGATGTGTTGGTGTTTTTGGTCTGGTGCTCTGAACAGATCTGACAACTGCCCGCCATCCTGCCCGTCATTATCTCTGAAGCTCAGTGTGCTGCCCTTTCCTTGCATTATAGTTGGGATGACACGGAGGTCCTCAGGGATTGACGATAAACAATAACCTTACATTTTTAGGTTCTTAAAACCAGAATTGATGATTATGTAGGATATTACTACGCACACATCTGCAATGTTATGTTGTAGGCTCTGCTGTGACAGTAGATGGTGTATTGACTCATGTTGGTGATGATGGTGCTTTACTGTGCACGGGATGCGTCATTTTTTCCACTGATAATGTAATTGTCCTGATGATTGATACTGTATTGATTCATGTCAGTGATGACTTCATGTTTCATCTTGTATCTCACGCAAGACAAGATCCTGTTTTGTTCATAGTTTCAATGAGTGAAAGGAAAACATATAAACTCCTCTGAGAAAGAACAAGAATAGGCATGTTTTGAAAAATGTTGAACCATTAAATTCATACAGTAGGCTATTTATACAACATCTTATATCTTGTATGGGTTATCAATAGACAATTCTATTTCTATTTGTGATTGTCACGTATCACATATCACATCTGATTTGGGCTACTTCATACTGGGTAGATGACTTTGGTGCTCTTTAAACTCAGTTCAAGATGTGACATTTATAATATTTTATTTAGCACATAGACTTTATATAAAGATACATATACTGTACTGTCTGTGGTTGTGGAAATAAAATTTTCAGATTTTGAATTTTATATGTTTAATTTTCAGCTACATTTTCAACATACATAATATAACCATAATTAATTAATTAATTATACCATATGACATCAAACACAAGTTCAACACTACAGTTTTTTTGAGAAACCACTCAAATGGGAGTCCATGCACTCACATCTATCAACATCACTGATCTCAAATTATAATCTAGATTTTAAAAACAGCATTCTCATTTTGTTTTCTCAACAGAAATGAATGAAATGCTTGGGCATTGGCCCCTTCCTATATATTAAAAAAAGATCATACACCCCTTAAAATCAAGAAGGCTTCATGATCTTCTTGTGACACTTTGATGACCCCTGGTTGGGGTTGGGGCCCCCAGATTGGAAACCAGCACTCTACGTGATGGTCTAAATACTAATACAAGAACTCCCCACTTTGCTACGAATAAAATATGTCAGAGTTGTTTCCCTCTGAGACACTTCCCTTCATTTTATTTTATTCAGCTTTGCAGACACAGCCTTGAAGATACTGACTTTAAGGTATATCAGCATTTAAAAACCCTCAAGAAACACCCACACACGTTGTTAAAACATCCCAGTTTCCAGAGATAATACCAAGGAAATGACCTCTGGGAAACATCCGTGTTATTGGAGTGTAAATTCAGGGAGTAAATCCATCTTAATTATCTAACCCTCTATTCTCCGTCTGGTTTCGACAGAGAACGGTGAGTGGGAGATCATCCACCGGCCGGCCAAGAGGAACACTTACAAGCACATTCCTATGGAGAGCAACAAGCACCAGGACATCACCTTCTACCTGGTCATCAAACGCAAACCTCTCTTCTACATCGTCAACATCATCATCCCCTGTGTGCTCATCTCCTTCCTGGCCTCGCTCGTCTACTACCTGCCTGCTGACAGTCAGTGCACTTTAAAGTATCAGTTTATAATCAAATGACATAATACATAAATAAATAAATTCTCACTCACTACTAGAGGTGTCAGGCCATGCAGAAAGTTCTAGTTTTATATGGAGATTAATACAGTTTCATTGGGTTACAAGGATCTTTATTGTTATTTTTACTGACTTTTTAAGAATTTAAAATTCTTTAACATTTTGCAATTCAGTTTGATGTAATGGGATTTGATGATACGCCAAAGATGTTTTTTAGGACAGGTGAACCATGATGATCCCTGGGACTTGATTACAAAGTGGTCAGAATCTTAAGGTCCTGATTGTATTGGTGAAATTTAAATTTGGCCTCTTGATTGAAGAAATATTTTTTCAAAACTCAACAAAACGAATCTGTTTTCATAATCTATTTTGTTTTACACTGAGCATACCAACACAAACAGAGTTCACCTGCACATACTGGACTCTTTAACTGGTTTCACTGGTGTGTGTGTGTGTGTCTAGGTGGTGAGAAGATGACCTTGTCCATCTCAGTGCTGCTGGCTCAGTCTGTCTTTCTGCTGCTGATCTCTCAAAGGCTGCCGGAGACTTCCATGTCTGTTCCACTTATTGTCAAGTAGGTAACACACACACACACACACACACACACACACAAACACACACGCGCGCAAGTATAAGCAATACTACTGAGTAGAAATACCCTGTGACAAGTAAAAGTCCTTCCTTTTAAAATTTTACTTGAAATATATAGAAATATGAGGAGCAGAAAATGGAAATACTCGAGTTAGTACATGTACATCAAACTTCAAAGTACAGGACTGGAGTAAATATACTTGGTTACTTTCCACCCCTGTCACAACCACATCTGGAAACTTCAGGGAGGTCTGGTAGACAGTTAGCCGTGCACAAATGAACATCTGACATAAAAAAAAACAAAAAAAAACATTTTTACTCCTGGTGTTGTAGCTGCCTGTGAGTTATAGAGGAAATATTTTGTTTTCTGTTTATATTTCTTGTGCAAACAAATATTAATTATATTACACTTAGCTCTGATAGAATACATACCTACTACTATTTAAAAGAAACATTGCTAGAGTCAGAGGAGTAAAGTCAAAGCAAGACCTTGAAAGACTTACCTTACATATGAACCTTGTTGGACCCTGAGGACATCTGGAGTCAACCTACTGACTGTCCCAAGAGTCAGAACAAAACACGGTGAAGCAGCGTTTTGTTATCATGCAGCACAAAGCTGGAACAACCTCCCAGATGATGTTGGATAGCCCCAATTCTGATCACATTTTAGTCAATGTTAAAAACATTCCTTTTTAATACTGCCTTATGAGGGTACTGATTCCCCAGAATGCAGCAGGTTGGGAAGAAGTGTGAGAAGCTGTTCCCAACCACATAATAAAAAAATTTATGTTCACTTGTAGAAACAAGTCTCATGAGAGCCTTTACAATGAAGATGCCTTCTTCACAATAATATTAAACAAATGCCTCTTCGGTAATGACCAAATGTGTTTACATATGGGGTAGGGGTTATGCTGCGTCTCAATGAAATAAAACAATAAACAAAATAACTATATATGGCCTGTGGGTGTTAAGTGATTGTTTGGCAAGCTAAGCTCTTGCATGAAAATACCAAGTAGAGCCCAGATGCAGGTGACCTAGTGTAAAGGCATTCTTAAATATTCCCTCCACTCAGGTTTTAGGATGCACAAAATCCCCCTCAAACAGCACAGCAACAGACAGCATTGGATTCTCAACAGGGCCGAGAGACCAGAGTGTCTGGCTGACAATGTTTGCCAACATGAGGTCTGCATTCGATTTAGGAAGGGTCAGAATGTCCTGGGTGTGCATTTCCTCAGCTCACTTAAGCCCTAAGGAAGGTTGCCATCACACCCTGACTGGCATAGAGCAGAGATGCACCAAGCTGCTCTCCAACCTAAATTAGGAGTCAGTACCTACGCCCTGCACAAAAGGGGACCTGAATTACCCTCCAGTCAACTATGAGGGACTGTGACATCCAACCAAAAGGAACTGAAAAAGGGATTTAACAGCAGATACCAAACAATGAGGGACTGCTCCAGCCTACTTAAAATGATTGCACACTTATTTTTTAACTCAACTGTAAATCATTTTCAAATAATCTTTTTATCTCTTGTCTGCACTTTTGCTACGTTTTTAAAATGTTTCTTTTATTGTTAATCATTAGTAAGTAATTTCACCTCATATCTTTTTCTCTTTACTCTTTAAACTTTTTTTAAATCTGTATCCTTTATTATGTTTTATATTTTATTGCTCTGTAAAGCACTTTGAATTACCCTGGTGTATGAAATGTGCAATACAAATAAAGCTGCTTTGCCTAAATTATAGATTTACAAGTACAGTGATGTGACAGCAGATCGCTAAATTGCTTCTTCCACAGTAGGAGAGACAAATAAACTGAAATAGCCTACTAAACTAAATCCCTTCAAGAGGAGAACACTGGGATGCAGGGAATACTACACTTTTTTTTTAATTCTTCTTTTTTCACAATGTTTTTTTTCAGGTGATACTGGGGAGCTGTTTTTCCTTTTAAAATATTTAAAGTAATTCACAAACAGGTTACAAAGAGGAACAAAGTATGTACAGATCACTGTGCAGTAATATATAACAAGTAACATTTAAAGTAAGAAAGCAATGAAGGAACAAAGAACCAAAAATGAATGTACAAAAGTGCTCTCGAATTGCTCCACAAAATATGAGATACCTGTGTGTGTGTGTGTGTGTGTGTGTGTGTGTGTGTCTCAGATACTTGATGTTCATCATGGTGTTGGTGACGGTGGTGGTGTTGAACTGTGTGGTCGTCCTCAACCTGCACTTCAGGACACCGAGCACACACATAATGTCTGAATGGACCAAAAAGGTAACATACACACACACACACACACACACACACACACATATTTACACACAACAAGGTGACAGTTGTTACAAATGCACATTATGGCTTTGCTGCTTTTTATTTGTACTCCAGTTCTTCCTTGAGCGGCTGCCCCGCATCCTGCATATGTCTCGCCCCGCTGAGGAGGAACCACACTGGGATGGAGCATTGCCACGGCGATCCAGCTCAGTGGGCTACATTGCCTCGGCGGAGGAGTACTACAGTGTCAAGTCCCGCAGTGAGCTGATGTTTGAGAGACAGTCGGTGAGGCACGGACTGACGGCCCGAGCCACACACGCAGCAAGTACGACCAGTGATGTCAATGGATATTAAAACCTGTAATAACTTTATTTTTTGTCCATTTGGTGACAGCAGAAAGACGTTGTGACATACAGGATTGGTGTTAATGTCCATCTGATGAATGTCAGTCTGATCTTTACTTTCTTTTAGCTCTTTTTTTGGTCTTCACCATTTCCTGAGGAAAACATCTGGCTCTTTAGCTGCTGAATGCTCCACTTTGCGCACTAGCTAGTTTCTGACTGTGTGTCTGCTGCTGAGCAGGTAGAGAACTGTGGCTTTTTACAGCTTTTTCTCTGAAGACGACGCTATGGGAGTGCTGACAATGAACCGGAACAGAAAAGTTGCAACCCCTTAGATAAACAGTGACCTGAAAACTCACAATAAACCTCTGTAAAGCCAACAATGTGTGCAGCAAGTCCTTCTGTGCTATTAGAATGCTGAATGCGCAGCATAGAAATCTGGCCGTTCTCACATCTAATTCATAAAATTTGAGACTGTCACTGAAGTTTGTTGCCATCATTGTCCTTTATTGTTGTTGACACTATGCAGTGAAGCCAAAGACAATTTTCCTCAACTTGGACAGTAAAACTTCTAACTATGTACTGGGGGTGTCTCAATCCGATCTCAAAGACCAGTATCAGGGACGATGTAGGCATTATTTTGCTGATTTGTATTGGCTACATTGAGCTATTTAGAGCCTGATCTGTTCCTATGTTTTACATTAGCTGTCACACAGATGTTTTTTCTCAAAAGCTTTTCAAAAGCTACTCATCAACTCTCCAGCTCTGTCTCTCTCCTCCGCTTCTCACCCTGCCTGCTGTGAAACACCACACACCACAAACAACAGCAAAATGCAGCATGAGACTGCTTAGTTATGTTATTTAGCAAATTTATAAGCACCTGTTTCATGTCAGGTCAGTGTGAGAGTCTGGTGCATGGTTGGGTGGTCATCCTTGGGTGGAGAAGAGACAGACTGCCAAGAAGAAGAGACAGGCAACCACACCGACCGTTATAAACAATGATCGGCAAATGGAAGAGGAAGCCTTGGCCCAAATATCCATTATCCAAATATTCCCTGGCTATACCGGAACCTTCTGAAATATTAGCTGTTGTCCCCAGAGGCTAAATCCTCATCAGACCGATAGCCGATAGGTTCCAAGTAGGGCTGTCCTAAATACCAGTTATGGGGCATCAAAGCTACGTTGAGAAATATTTGTAATGAAGAGGGGGGAGTGATGAGAGGGCTTTTTTTTTTTTTAAACATCAGCTTTCAGTCGTTGCACCTAAAAATAATGTGACACTTTGCCACTTTGTTAGCATGCAGGTTGCAGTAACATTAGCCGTAATAGCTAGGAAAAAAAAATACTAAGCTTAGCTGTTACTTACAGATTTCAGGTGATCTTCTAAGCTGGTTGTAGATTTGTGATGTCAGTTTCCTTTGACATATCTTGCACATATCTTTTCAGGGGTCTCTTTGTAAATTTAAAACTACTCCAGACACTTGACTTTTTCGACATCTTGCTAACTTATCAGTAAGCTTGTCATGTGTAGGCAAACTGTTTGAGTCACAGAATTAGGCTGAAGCTTTGAAGCATTCAGGTAAGCCCTAGTTCCAGTCCCTAGGCCCAGTTTTAACCTTATTATCTTTGTCCCCTGTGGGATAAAAGGTCAAAAGAAGCCCCTGCCATTGTTTTCTAGAAATAAGACTTCACCACAGTATTATTAACCCATTTCTCTGTGTGTGTTTTTGGGCAGTTGTGAAGCCACAGGAGGATGGAGGTGTGACAGATCAGCTGTTTGCAGAAATCAAGCCGGCGTTGGACGGAGCAAACTACATCATCAAACACATGCGCAACAAGAACGACTACAATGAGGTGAGAAAAATAGGATGATGATCTGCAGAGAGAAGAGAGTGTTGACTGTTAATGGTTGTGTTTTAAGGCTAGTTCATATTACACGATTTTCACCCTGATATTGCGTCATGGAGACTATCATAATCTTTTGAGTGTTCATACCTGGCGACATGTGTTTCTGTCAGCGGGAGTCTCGCCAACTGCGTTACGACCTGTGTGTGCACACCACAAGATTTCTCCACCGAGCCGTCACCGACAGAGCCCCAAATAAAGCTGTGACGTCACCAAACTACGTATTTTAACTTGGAGATGACACATCGTAAAGGCATGAATATTCTGCCCAGTGTTGAATCAGATCTGCCTCCAGGGCCTGGGTCCAAACACAACACGCTCCCCCTGATCCTGTGGACGCTGCCATTGTTTTTGTTACTTGCCGGCTTGAGCGTTGCCAGATCTTGGGAGAGAAACAAGCAACCAGGGCTATGGAAACAAGCCCAAAAGAAGCGACTATCATGCGTTTAAATAAGCAACTCCACTTTAAAAACAAGTCTAAATTCGCGGCTAATAAGCGGACCTGGCAACCCTTGTCCTCCTCACATTTCTTCCGTCCTCCTGCGTGCTGACGTCGGACGTATCCCACCTCTCATTGGCTGATGCTCTTTGTCAGTCATGTCAGACTTCTCCAGTTTTCTAGCATGCCAGTTGTCCAGTCCCAGTCACAGACGAGGGGGCAACTTGCTCGTAGGCTTGTTCACACATGAGGACTCGTCGTGGCAGACTACCTGCCGACTCACCTCTGACCCAAGGTGGCTCTCAAGATCCTCTGCAATGTCAAAATTGCGGTGAAAATCGTGTAATGTGAACTAGTCTTAAGCTGAAGTGTATCAGATTTTGGGAGATGGGGTGACCTCGACACCCCGTCTCCCAAATATATATATATATATATATATATGTATTGCTTTTTTACCTTTATTTTATTTCTCTGGTGTTTTCATGCTTTAATGATGATGATCCATTGTCTGTATTGTATTTTATTGTTTTTTTCCTGTAGAGTCCTTTGTAACCTTGTTCAGAAAAGTGCTATTTAAACAAGTTTATTTTTTTGTGATCTACATGTTCACAGAGCTCACAAATCAGCCAGCTTCATAAAGAGCTCTCCTAACTCCCTCTGTTGTGGTTTTATTTTATATTATCCTTACTTTTGACCACGTATGTAAAACCAGTATGTAATCCGTTCTCTTCACAGGAGAAAGATAACTGGAGTGGCATTGCTCGTACAGTGGACCGCCTCTGTCTCTTCCTGGTTACCCCGGTGATGACGTTTGGCACCATCATCATCTTCCTGATGGGAATCTGTAACCACCCTCCACATCTGCCTTTCAAAGGAGACCCATACGACTACAGAGAGGAAAACCCACGCCTGCTGTAACACACACATACACACACACACACACACACACACACACATTAGTATAATATATAATTTATACACTCTTGTTCAAATCCAGGAGTTTGTTTCCTCTTTATTATTTTCGTTTGATTTTTCTCCAGGTACACAGCTGTGTGTGTGTTTTTTTTTCTAAACTTAAATTTGAAGTGAACAACTACATCAGTATGTGACTATTTTAATTTTCTTTGTGTGGTTTAAATAAACATTTAAACTCTGTATTATGTATGAATGTCTTTTTATTTTTGTTCCTATTGTCTGTTTTGTTTTGTTTTTTGTTAAATAATCCAGTCCCACATACATTATAAGTATCATTTCTACAGTTTTCAAAACTATAAGACAAAAGAGAGTTTTGATGATGAAGACTGAGGAGAATCTTGATAAATTTAAAGACACTGACGGCTTCAAATCAATAAGACTTGTGTTTTTCAGCTGGTGAATATGAGTTAAAATACATCTTATAAATTAAAATAGCTGCAAGGTTGTTTATTTTTTTTTTCAAAAACTAATTCTAATTTAAACTTTCAATGTTTAAAACTTTCTTGAGATAAAAAGGAATTAACACCACTCAGAAATTGGAAACTTTATTTTTTGACACATATTTCTTCTTTTCATTCCTTCTGGGCTCAAAACATTTTTCCAACAGATGGTGAGATGGATGCATCTCAAAAATATCAAATTTTCAGGGACTCTTAAAAATATTTTTATACATTAAAGGTTAAAATGATCAGCTGATTGAAAGAGGAAATAATAAGCAACTATTTTTTATAGCTGATTAACCATTTTAGTCATTTTTCAAGGAAAAATAATGGAAAAAAGTGAATGTATTTCTTTGAGTTATAGAGTGTCCGTCTGTCAAAAATAGACACTTGGATGTCACTGTGGTCTCGTAGAGGTTAAGTTAGCCATCTTCTCACCATTTTCTGTCCATTTAATAGACTACCAAATAACTGATCATGAAAATAATTGAAAAGTTGCAGCCCTTATTACAAAATGACACTGTCAGTGCAAATATTTGATACTCAAGCACATTTTAATGGGGAAAGTTATGAGTTAAAGGAACAGTGTGTAAGATTTAGGGGAATTTAGCAGTGAGGACTGCAGATTGCAACCAGCTAAAACTTCTCCCATCTCAACCTGGCCTCACTCCGAAGTCGTGACTTCCGGTGACTAACAGCAACTTCTGGCATTAGACACCAGTGAGAAAAGTTGTCCTTTCACGTTAGCATGAAACTTAGCCAGTCACCATTATTGTTTAGGGGGTTTAGCATTAAGGGAAAATGCAGTGGGACAACAATGAAAGTAAAGGCAGTGGAGGACGGAGTAGGGAGGGTGGGACGGCAGGTGGATGGATCCAACAAGCACTGACTGTCATCCAGGAGGCTGGTGTTCACTTCCTGTGAGACTGTAAAGCCAAACTCTCTTTTTTCCTAAGCCCACCCATGTATGTGTTGGCAAAAGATAACTATGTGTGTTTGTTGCTGAAGGAAAAAAATGTCAATTCATGGTGTTGTACCAACTTAGTGCATTTAATTTGAAAGAGACTGATGCAAACTGTACATTTCCTGTGAAAACAGAAGTTTATTTTGAAAACAGACCATGTAACAGGCTGAAGTTGACAGTGTCCCAAAACGTTACGCACCCAGGGTAACTTCCACATCATATCTGGACATGGAAAATCCATGACCAAATGTTGATATGTTACAAGGTTGGAGTGAGAATGTGTTGCCCATCTGCCAACTGTGAATTCCCAATTAGAATTCCTTCAGTGTTCATTGTTCAGGGGTTTTTAACCAGGAGCTGAAGTATCCACAGAGGTCTCTTCTTCTCCAAAACAAACTGACCAGAAGATTAAAACCGGTAAATACACTGAATAAAACAATTTCACGTTACAAATCAGTGTTTTGCCAACACTGTTCAGCTTGCCGCAGACGGGTCGCTAGCCTAGCACCTGCTAATGTGTGTTCACCTCTATTCTCTGATAACTTAAAATCCAAATGTTCAGGTTTTAGGTTTGGTAAAAACCATTGAAAAAAAGCAGTTTCTCATATACATTAAAAAAAAAAAAAAAAAAAAAAATCTGTGTTTTTCATCGTGGAGGGGCTGCCAACTACCGTGGCTGACAATGTGAATGTCAATATCTAGAGCCAGTGTTCAGTTTGTCCATTCTGGGCTACTGTAGAAATAGGGTGGTAAACATGGCAATCACTAGGAATGAGGGCGTGAGATATAAACAGCTCATTCTGAGGTAACAAAAACACAATGATTTTCATTTTCAGGTGATTAAACACTAAAGAAGCTTACTTATTACATTATATTTCATGTCTGCCAGTACATCCCCCTAATCCTACACACTGGACCTTTAACTAAGAGCCAGAACTGTTACATGTAACTGTAATTATGTGTTTCTTTTATTGTGTGGTTAATATTTTCACTTCCAGCCTTCCAGTATTAATACTGGTAGTTAAAAAAAAATGTAAAGGAAAAACACTGCACTCTGTGGAAAAATACAGTCTGCTAAATGACAGTGAAAATATCAGGTTTCAACCTCTGCTGAGGCTTTGTGTTGGCAGCCTGTGTTGTTCAACTGGTCTGAGCAGATAATTATTAGCACTGACACATAGGAAGGGAATCATTACCAACATGTGTTTGTTTCACTGTGACTTTAAATATGCGCTGCAGTTTCCTGAGTGAGTTTTTACTTAAGTGATTATTAATATTCCTGTATCAGCAGCATTTGAGATTGAAAATAGTCTGGTAACACTGTCTTTGTGTTTTTACATACTGTAGCAAGCATTTTGTCAAGATTCCTCGTTTCATGATTAATATTTGTGATATATCACCATTAATTAATAAAGTTATTGTTAAACTGTTTCACTGTTTGTTTTTAACATTTGTCTTCCTGTAAAGCAGCAACTGGATTATCCTGATCAAATAAAGTAAATTGGATTACAATTTTTGCTACAGAAAAATGATACTGACACTAGCTTGAACAGTACACTCACCCAACTCAACATTTTCTAAACAAAAACTACAATTATAAAAGTATTTTAAATAAGCTTTAATTGTCATATAAACATAAAATTTACATCAAACATGTTATGAACTGCATTTTTTCTGCCAAAATACGGACCAAAAAACAACCCCATTGCCAGAAGAATGTTGGCATGGTACCTTTCTGCAAACAACAGATCATTTGCATGTTATAATGTCGCAGATACAATGAAACTGTTTCAATGAGGCTGTGATTAATGTGTGGTTAGGTTTAGGCACAAAAACCAATTGGCTGAGGTTAGGAAAAGTTCATGTCTGGCATAAAATACCTGCTTTTGGGGGCTCACTCCCTGCTGGAAAAGCAGCAATGTCTTGGTAAAAAACAAAAGAACTGTTTTTGGTAGCACTATCCCTGCTGGAAAAACAGCGACAGATCATTAAATCACAACAGGTTTTGTTGTTTGTTGGTCTCGAACAGTGGTCTACAGAATTGTTTTTTGTTTTTTTTTTAGATTATTTTTATGGGCTTTTTGCCTTTATTGACAGGACAGAGAGTGAAATGGGGAGACAGAGAGAGAGTGGGGACTGACATGCAGCAAAGGGCCGCGAGCTGGATTCGAACCCGTGGCCGCTGCAGCGAGGCGATGCCTCTGTACATGGGGCGCCAGCACTATCCACTACACCCCCAGAATTGTTAATATTATACGTATGCAACGTGCAAATGTGCCTATCCGTGCTTTGCAGAAACATACAGTGCCAACATTTTCTTCTGGCGACTAGGCTGCCAAAAAGAAACCCTGATATATGAGTGATAAACCAATATTCATTCATTTTTCATGACTGCTCATCTTGTTGGGGGCCACGTGGGGCCTGGAGCCTATCCCAGCTGATGCTAGGTGAGAGATGGGACACACCCAGGACAGGACACCAAACTATTACAAGGCTGACACATAGAGACAGACAACCAATCACGTCCACATTCACTCCTATGGACAATTACAGTCACCAGTTCACCTGCATGTCTTTGGACTGTGGGAGGAAGTTGGAGCACCTGGAGAAAACTCACACTGACACAGGGAGAGCATGCAAACTCAAACAGAAGGGCTCCCCCACCCCAGAGTTGGGTATATAGATAAACCAATATTGGCTGATAATTTCAGCCTACTGATATAGTCTAATGTTCCCTTTATATAGTGTGTATAATTTAAATATAAATATATATTTTGTGACGAAGACTCGTCACTGAGTATGGGCAGCACATGGTAAAGATGGTAAGTGAAATGTGTACACATGGTTAGCCACACACATTATTAACCCCTGTCAATGTGGTGAGTGCATACACTACAATAAAGCCCCAGCCGCAATCCTACATACACCGCAGTACAATATAATGCTGAGGAAATAAAACACACATTACAGTTTAGTTTACTTAGTTCACTGTATTCATGCTCATCTCACGAAGACTGTTTTACCAAAGTGTCCTCATGATCTGTTGTTCTTCAACTGTAATTGTGTGTTTCTTTTATTGTGTGGTTAATATTTTCACTTCCAGCCTTCCAGTATTAATACTGGTAGTTAAAAAGAAAAGAAAAGAAAAAATGTAAAGGAAAAACACTGCACTCTGTGGAAAAATACAGTCTGCTAAATGAAAGTGAAAATATCAGGTTTCAGTCTCTGCTGAGGCTTTGTGTTGGCAGCCTGCGTTGTTCAACTGGTCTGAGCAGATAATTATTAGCACTGACACATAGGCAGGGAATCATTACCAACATGTGTTTGTTTCACTGTGACTTTAAATATGCGCTGCAGTTTCCTGAGTTAGCTTTTACTTAAGTGATTATTAATATTCCTGTATCAGCAGCATTTGAGATTTAAAATAGCCTGGTAACACTGTCTTTGTGTTTTTACATACTGTAGCAAGCATTTTGTCAAGATTCCTCGTTTCATGATTAATATTTGTGATATCCATCCATCCATCCATCCTCTAACCGCTTCATCCTCTTGAGGGTCGCAGGGGGGCTGGAGCCTATCCCAGCTGACATTGGGCGAGAGGCAGGGTACACCCTGGACAGGTCGCCAGACTATCGCAGGGCTGACACATAGAGACAGACAACCATTCACGCTCACATTCACACCTATGGACAAATTAACCTAATCCCCAATCTGCATGTCTCTGGACTGTGGGAGGAACCCGGAGTGCCCGGAGAGAACCCACGCTGACATGGGGAGAACATGCAAACTCTGCACAGAAGGGTTCCCACACCCGGGATCGAAACGGGAACCCTCTTGCTGTGAGGCGACAGTGCTAACCACCACACCACCGTGCCGCCCCCCTAATATTTGTGATATATCACCATTAATCACCAAGTTATTGTTAAACCGTTTCACTGTTTGTTTTTAACATTTGTCTTCCTGTAAAGCAGCAACTGGATTATCCTGGTCAAATAAAGTAAACTGAATTCCAATTTTTGCTACAGAAAAATGATACTGACACTAGCTTGAACAGTACACTCACCCAACTCAACATTTTCTAAACAAAAACTACAATTATAAAAGTATTTTAAATAAGCTTTAATTGTCATATAAACATAAAATTTACATCAAACATGTTGATGAATTACATTTTTTCTGCCAAAATACGGACCAAAAAACAACCCCGTTGCCAGAAAAATGTTGGCATGGTACCTTTCTGCAAACAACAGATTATTTGCATGTTATAATGTCGCGGATACAATGAAACTGTTTCAATGAGGCTGTGATTAATGTGTGGTTAGGTTTAGGCACAAAAACCACTTGGCTGAGGTTAGTAAAAGATCATGTCTGGCATAAAATACCTGCTTTTGGGGGCTCACTCCCTGCTGGAAAAGCAGCAATGTCTTGGTAAAAAACAAAAGAACTGTTTTTGGTGGCACTATCCCTGCTGGAAAAACAGCGACAGATCATTAAATCACAACAGGTTTTGTTGTTTGTTGGTCTCGAACAGTGGTCTACAGAATTGTTAATATTATACGTATGCAACGTGCAAATGTGCCTATCTGTGCTTTGCACCTGGAGAAAACTCACACTGACACAGGGAGAGCATGCAAACTCAAACGGAAGGGCTCCTCCACCCCAGAGTTGGGTATAATTTCAGCCTACTGTCTAATGTTCCCTTTATATAGTGTGTATAGTATATATTTAAATATAAATATATATTTGCTTGTGATATGCTTTTCCTAGGTACAATTTATGATTATGTTGTGTTCAATCTGGTTATGATCTAGGATCACAATATCCAAAAGTTTCACAGTTTTTACAGATTACATACCAACACTTCATTATAAATATATATATATCATACCAATTATGATGCATTAATCTGACAATTATTTGTTCAAAGGAATCACATTGGAGTCTGACTCACAGTAATAAAGTGACAAATAAAGGACTCTTCTTTACCTCTGAGCTTAAAAATCAGAACAGGATTATTTTTTTGTCTAGACTATGTTATCTTTAAAACACAAATAAAACAATATTTTACCAGCACTAAAACACACTTCTTCTCAATGTAATACATTCAAGGTTTCTGTTGCTACAACTTTGCTCTGATGTGACCAATGTTAGCCAACTTAGGAATTCTAATGCTGGATGTCACTTTGTTACTTTGTGACTCCTTTATTCTTCTGCGGCTGCTGATCATGGCTACAGCTGCCTTGGTATAGAAAAATTCAGGCTAATTTCTGCTTTCACAGCATCTTGTTAAAAGTGTAACTAAACACACTTTTTTACTGAAAACATTATTAAGTAAATGTTAATTGTACAATGTAATGGCAAAAGAATAATGACACCATCTATAGGTTGCCTATATGCTTTACTTTCACGAAGCAATTCTGTCTGCCACTGGGTACTATCTCACTCAAAAATGACTTGATTTAGCCCACAGCTCAAAAGAGGTGCATCAACAGCTTAAACAGATTGCAAAATGTGGTAGACAACAATAATAAAGATGTTGCAGAAAAAAAATATAATGTAAAATACAAAGAAAGATCAATAAATTCAAAAATTCCAATAAAAGAGTAGAAAAAAGAATAAATATTCACTGTATCAGAAATGCTGCAAAAATGAAAATTATACTTGCTGTTGTAAATATTTTCAGTAGCGTACACACATAAATGTTCACTCATAAGTAAAACCTGTCTCATTAAAATATCATAGTCAGCATCCTTTGGTACATCCAACATGGCGACGCGTGCAGACGCTGCGGCTTCTCTCTGTTACTCAATTTGCACCACTGTCATTGCAACACATTGTTTGTGTCGCTACTACTGTGCCTTTTTTACTTTTACTTTTAGAGTATAACTCTTTTTAGCTTAGTTTTTATTTATATATTTTATATTTTGTAGTTTATTAAATGTGTTAAGTGTACTGTCTGCACTGAGGGTCTGAAGAGTAACGTTATTTCGATCCTCTGTATGTCTTGTACATATTGTAGAATTGACAATAAAGCTGACTTTGACTTTGACTAATACGGATTAAATCTCACAATTTCAACCTGCACGAGTGAATGATTTTTTCCCCCTTGATACACGAATCAATTAATAATATAAATGATGATTACTTTAGCACTATTTTCCATTTCAGAAGAAAATTAGCAGTTCTGATATTTTCTTAAATACCTTTGATAGTATTATTTAATGATAAAAAACTGTTAATACATTTTCTTCTTTCTTGTTTCTTTGACTCATTTGTCATTTCACTCTGACACACATTATTTATAGCTGTCAGTACCTGTCAAATTATGTGTCTCAGCTGACATGTTTTTAAAATCAAACAGAAGTTTTGTTTAATGTCGTCTCGTCAGCTGTTTTTTTCTCG